TATGGTGACTTCTACAAGACAGTGTGAATTCTCATGATGGGTTTCAGCGGTGTAGGCAGTTGGTCCATCTTGGAGCACGTTGGCCCATCTTGGAGCTGTGTAAGCAAACCACAAAACTATTGTGCATGTGGAAGAGCCCATCCTCCATAGTTTGTGTGGTTTTTCTCTTGGCTTTCTGACTTTGGTGAGGTGACGGCTGAGCTGGGAGTGGGTGGTTGAATGAGAGCCTCAGATAACTGACTGTATCACATGCTAATTGCTGCTTTCGTAAACAGGCACTAGCTCTGGCTGTGCTGTAAGTTAGAAGGAGTTAACGTGGCAGGTATGAGTTAAGCCTTCAGGATTTCCATGGTGTCTTCCCACCTGCTGTGTAGTTGTTGGACCTTTCTCGCTTTTGTGGATTTTTTTTGTGAAGAGACTCTCTTGGAGGCCAAGTGTGAAGTCAGCATAAGTGAAGTGCACGGAGATGGTTCTAACATCTACTGAGCCCGCCAAGTAGTACCGTCATCTGGATTCCCAGGTGAACTAGAGTTTAGCAGTTCCAAGTTACCTGAAATCTTTTCTAGGGGAAGGCGATCACTTCATGTGCCGCTTGACTAATAGAGCTGGTGACATCTTGCACACGGGGTAAGTGTGCCAAGGAGAGCTAGGCTGCTTGCAGCTTTGTTCTCCTTAAGTCCCTTCTGAGCCTAAATACTGACTTGCAGCTTCTTGGTCCTTGTGGGGCGTAGGACTGAGCTCCAGATTGGTACCTAAGTGTCAATTTGGAAGTGCTTGCATGTGGAAGGCTATCAACCAGGCTCTCCTTGCGTTGTCTTGAGTCAGGGTGATTGAGGTGGGTCTTGCACGGGGTGTCACACCAGCCTGAGCTCTGTCTGTCGCTCACTGAAGATGGGCTGCCAGCGTTGGCTTCTCTTTCCAAGAACATAAGAGGGAGTCTCGTGACACAGAAGAAAGCCTGCGTTTTAGGCGGCTTACCAGGTGCTGCTGTCTTGGTTTTTCCCCTCCCTCCTGGAGAATGACTGGAAACTTTGATCTTGATCAGGCTGCAAAGATTGCTTAAGAAGTTTTGGAGAGACATCAGTCACCGTCAGTGAGTGTTATCAATATAAGCCATGAGCCGAGCTGTTTGGGAAGACTCCTCTTACTGTTTGTCGGCTGTTATTTGTTGTTGTGGCTGCACTGAAGCTCCAAGCCTGCCTTTTGGATCTACTTGTGAAATGTTTTTTCCCCTTGCATTCTTCCTGCTGCATCCAGGCTCTTAGGAAGGTGGCTGATCATTTCTATCTCACCTCATAATTCGTGCTGTTTAACCAATTAATGCTGTTAACCAGCTGATCATTTCTGTCTTGCCTCATAATCCGTACTGTTTAACCAGTTAATCCATATGGCCATACCATTTTGTCACGTCTTGGTATATTAGATTGTATTCCGAGGTTCACCAAAGCAAACACATTAGACAATTCATACAAGTTTTCTGTTTGGTCTGTTTTGTTTATTTTCTACAGCTGGATTACGGTCTTAGCACAATAATATTGTATGACTCCAATTAAAATAAAGTTGTGCTTGATGGTAGAGGAAATTCAGAAGATGAGTGCAGATGGTTGGTAGGGAGTAGCCTTCCACAGAAATGACTCAGCTCTGCTTCAAGCTGGCAGAGCGGACAATTCCTAGTTGTGTAGGGCTGTGAAGAGAACACTCTTCATGGGAAAGCTCTGAGGCGGTAGAGGTTCAAGTGCTTGACTTGCAAAGTGTGTGTCCCACTGGTACCCTTCTGGCCTTGATGATGTGCTGGCAACTAAAGTGTCCTTGGCATAGGTGATGAGATGCCAGAGTAACAGTAGACCAAAAACAAGCCATTATAAGTGTCTTGCAGCTGAGCCAGTGCCACCAGTGCCAAGACCTTCCCTTTTTGTTGTTTTTTTTTTTGGATAATTTCCTCCAGTGGAGGGCCACAAAGATGATCAGAGGCATGGAGCACCTCTCCTATGAAGACAGACTGAGAGAGCTGGGGTTGTTCAGTCTGGAGAAGAGAAGGCTCCAGGGAGACCTTCTAGCAGCCTTCCAATATCTGAAGGGAGCTACAGGAGAGATGGAGAGGGACTCTTTGTCAGGAAGTGTAGTGACAGAACAAGGGGCAATGGTTTTTAATTGGAAGAGGCGAGATTTAGATTAGATATTAGGAAGAAATTCTTTGTTGTGAGGGTGGTGAGGTTGCCCAGAGAAGCTGTGGCTGCCCCATCCCTGGAGGGGTTCAAGGCCAAGGTGGATGGGGCTTGGAGCAACCTGGTCTGGTGGGAGGTGTCCCTGCCCATGGCAGGGGGTTGGAACTGGGTGATCTTTAAGGTCCCTTCCAACTCTTACATTCTGTGATTCTATGATTCCTTTTCCCCTGCTCCTTAACAACCTACCCTTGCCTGACGATTGTTTCAAGATGACAGTAGGGCTGCCTCTTCCAACAGCTTCCACGCTTGTCCCTCCTCTGCCCCCAGCCTCACGTGTTTGACGCCTCCCTTGAGCTTTTCTAGCAGTTGTGAGCCCGTGGGGCAAGCTAAAACCTACACTGATGAGTACAGGAAATAATTATCTGTTTCTGTCCACTGAGGGCAAAACTCTGGTGCTGAACACAATGGATGATGTGGGAACGTGGCGGGGGGAAGAGCGAATTTTGCTTGAGGCGTCCACATTGAGGACTTGGAACAAACGAGAGCAGTCACGAAACTGAAGTCGTGGAGTCATTGCGTTTGGCTTGTGGGGTACATCTCTGGCTTTGTGATGGGTGTGTAGTAAACAGGAGTAAACAACATTCTCCTCCATTTACTTCACCAGAGGGAAGTTCTGCAGGGCAGCTGGTGTTCATTTGGGTCCTGAAACGGGTAGGGTGGTCTTCATACACCCTCTTCATTTTTTATTAAAAAGTAGAAACCAGTTGATGTGGTGTTTGGGGGGTTTTTTTGGTTGCTGAAGGAGGTTTATCTCAACTGTCTGTTTTTATTACTGGATTTTATTGATGTTTATAAACCTGAACTGAAAAACTGAGGAAAAGCCAAACACCCAAACCAGCTTGCTTGCAGCTTCTGTCATGTTCTCATTTTTGAAAGAAAAGTTAATTTTATGGTAGTTCTGTCAAACATAAAACATAACCTTGTTTAAGCAATGAGCTATCTTTGCTCAAACTTACATTTGTTTGGAATATTGTATGTTATTTCTGTTTTAGAGGACATTTATGTGCTGCCCCTTGCAACTGATTTCAGAATTACTGCTCAAAATCACTGCAGTGGAATACGAGAAAACATTTATTTTGATGTGAAACATAACTTGTGGAAAGAATCAGCGTGCGAGTGTAGTTGAAGCTTGGCAGCCTGTCTGTTACAGCCGTGCACTTGGGTCTAAATGTCAAAGCCGTTCTGCTACAGAGAGCTGCACGCTGGCTTGTTTTGTTCTCCTAGGCTGTGAAAACCATCTCGAAACTGAGAGGTAAAATAAAGATAGTTTTATGGTCATTTAGGCATTCTTTCAGAAGCGTCTGCTGGGAGAATGGATGCTGCTCTGATACCTGGGAATCTTTCATAGAATCATAGAATAGATTAGGTTGGAAGAGACCTTTAAAGGTCATCTAGTCCAGCCCTTGGCCATGGGCAGGGAGGGACAGCTCCCACCAGACCAGGTTGCTCCAAGCCCCATCCAGCCTGGCCTTGAACCCCTCCAGGGATGGGGCAGCCACAGCTTCTCTGGGCAACCTCTTCCAGTGTCTCACCACCCTCACAGCAAAGAATTTCTTCCTAATATCTAGTCTAAATCTCTCCTCCTTCAGTTTAAAACTATTACTCCTTGTCCTGTCACTCCACTCCCTGATGAAGAGTCCCTCCCCATCTCTCCTGTAGCCCCTTTAGGGACTGGAAGGGGCTCTAAGGTCTCCCTGGAGCCTTCTCTTCTCCAGGCCGAACAACCCCAACTCTCTCAACCTGTCCTCATAAGAGAGGTTCTCCAGCCCTCCCATCATCTCCATGGCCCTTGTCCGGACCTGCTCGAATGGGTCTATGTCCTTCCTGTCTTGCCGGCCCTAGAGCTGGATGCAGTACTCCAGGTGGGGTCTCCTGAAAGCAGAGTACAATTCATTTTTCCTGAATTTGAATTTTATAATTTTGGAAACCAGAAATGTGTTGAGCTATTAGATACTTGAAAGCAAATTATTTTTATCTGACAAACCAACTTGGGGCTGCAGGTGTGGATGGGCAGTTTGGCCATGTGAATTTCTATTTATTCCCCTTTATTGTCTCTCTTGACAGTAATTGTTGTACTGTTATCATAAAACATTTAGATGATGATTCTCACTCTGACTTTTTGAAGAATAATCTCAAAATGCATTTCTAATGAATGGGAAATAGAAGGGCTCGATAACAAGAATTTTTAAAGTTTTGTAATTCTGTAATAAGTGCTTTGTCTCATTTATAAAATGATGATTAAATAACCCAGAGCACTTTCAAGAGTGTGAATTGATGGGAAGAGCTCTTCACATTTGCTAATGTGGCTCCCATACTAAGTGGTGTGAATGCTGTCTCTTTGGCTTCTAAGGCGTATTTGTTGCTGTGAACTGGGAAAGTCACACCAAAAATTGCTTTGTTATCCCTTTCTTATTTATTCTTTATGTAGGGACGTGTGGCATGATCATGTTTGGCAGGAGACATGATTGGAGAGAAGTCTGCAAGGGATGTTCAGTCCTGCACAGTCTGTTTTGTACACGTAGACCTGCTGGAATTTGAAATACTAGGCAGAACCAAGCGTTGGCTTGAGGTTTCTATGTGCTTTTCATGTAGTGGAGTTATCTGCTTTCTTGAATATGAGGATACTACATAAGTGGTAGAACTTTCCACTGAGACACCTTTCATTAGCCATGCTGGGCTCTTCAGTTTCTGTTGTGGAAATTATGCAGTGGTTTTATCAAGGCCTTCTCCAAACCAGCAGACTCCGTCATAACAAACCTGTATTGGTGGAAGCAGGTTTTTTGACTGGCATGGCATTACCCTTGCTGTGGAGCATGGCAACCTGGCAGAGAGAGCTGTTGGCTTTCTGGAGTATTTCCTGTGCCAATACAATGACAGTAGTGAAGAGTCAGGTGAGTCCCCAGAAGAGGTGAGCAGGGCCCAGCTTCTTCTCTTAGCAATGTTGTTTTCCAAAGCCATCTCAGTGCCACCATTTAACAATTCAGTAGAATCCTTTGTGTGTGGGAAAGCTCTTGGTCACTCCTTTGCTTTCTTCCAGCTGCTCTAGACCTGCTTTTGCTATGGTGATTGTGTGAGCAGCCAATTCACACTTAGTAGATAGAACATCAGAATCACAGAATCTTCTAGGTTGGCAGGGACCTTAAAGATCATCTTGTCCAACTGTCAACCTATCTGTGACAAAAAGAGACACCCACACAACAAACAAGAAGCAACACCATCACTAAACCATATCTCCCAGCACTACATCAACCTGTCTTTTGAACACCTCCAGGGATGGTGCCTCAACCCCCTCCCTGGGCAGCCCATTCCAATGTCTGATAACCCTTTTGGTGAAAAAATTTTTTCCTAATATCCAGCCTGAACCTACCCTGGCGTAACTTGAGGCCATTTCCTGTCGTCCTGTCGCCTGTGACTTGGGAGAAGAGACTGACCCCCATCTCTCTATAACCATCTTTGTTGCCCTTCTCTGGGCCCACTCCAGCACCTCGATATCTTTTTTATGGTAGGGAGCCCAAAACTGGACACAGCACTCGAGGTGAGGCCTCACCAGTGCCGAGTACAGGGGGACAATCACCTCTCGGGCCCTACTCGCCACGCTGTTCCTGATACAGGCCAGGATGAGGGATCAGATGAGGGAACATCTGAAAACTTTGTAGTCATCTAGTTAACTTAAATGTTGAGAAGATGCCACTGTCCAAAACTCAAAGCTTTTTCTTGCTCTTGGTTATGCTGTGTGGGAGGTTCCTCAGGGACTGTGGCATCTGTAATTTCTCAAGGAGGAGCTGGAGAAGATCTCATTCCACAGTCCTTCCATTGACCAACCAGGGAGAAGGGAAGAATCTGTTGGAAGTCACCTTTACAATAGCCTGTAGACACCCAGTACATGATCATAATCAAATAATTGTGGACACATTCTGTGGAATACCTGGGCTGTAGTGGTTTTCTTCTGTATTTCAGCTGCTTGTTTGACTAATTTCATTTTTTGCCTACATAATGAAGAAGGTATAAACTCCTCAGGGGGCTAGAGATGATATGCTTTTGCATCTCAAACCAAAAACATGTTCAAAGGCTAATCAAGGAAAAGCTTTTCTTTTTTAGTCCGTTAACTACGCCAGTATGGATGAACAAGTGTAAAGTCTTCATTCTAAAGCTGAGATCTCTAGACTTGCCTGTATAGTAACTTTCTCGGCTGCCAGCTATAATTATACCTGCAACTGTTAGAACATTTACACTCCGAAACACAGGGGGAGCATAAGTGGATTTTTGGCATGTTCTTCCTTCCTGCCTCCTGGCAGTGGTGGGAAGGAATATGTACCAAAATAGATGAATACAGGAAATGCATACGTGAGGACTGTTCGTATTGGTACCTCTGGTATCTTGCTGCACATCTGACTCCTGGTGAGTTGCCTTTGATGGTTTCGGTCTGACTGGCTCCTCTGAGATGTATTGCATGAGGATGCTGTAGCTGCAGACTGTTCTTTCGGGCCCTAAATAAGATGAAAGAATGACTGACAACGCAGAAGAACTTTGCAGAGACGCTTGGCGTGACATAGTGTGACTTGAAGCGAAGCCTGGGAGAAATGGGTGGGAGAACTCTCTGAACTGGTGAACTGACAGATTTTGTTTCAGAGCAGATAAGTTATCATCCACTTTTGCTCCCAGCCAGCGATGTTATACTCAATGGTACACAGTAAAAAACGTGGAGAGAAATTAGTCATTGGTAATCAATAAAATTCATGGTTCTCAAAGCCATCTCAAAACCTGGATGTTCTTAGTGGGCTTTTTAGAGGCCTGAGATAAGTAGTAAGAAAATAGGTGTCATATGGATAAAGGGAAATTCCAGAGAGTCTTTGGGAAAGCTTCTCATCTCTGTTTTTTCCAATTTGGTAATTTTTTAAAAATGACTAAACAAGTCCGTATTCTGAAACAGAGGGAAATTCCAGAGAGTCCTTAGGGAAAGCCTCTCATATCTGTTTTTTCTAATTTGGTAATTTTTTTTAAATGACTAAACAAGTCCGTATTCTGAAACAAAATAGGCTTTTTTTTTTTTGCTTTGAGAGAATGTTTTGGGGAATGTGCTTTGCTTGCGGTTTATAGGCCAGTCCCTGAAGGAAAGGTATTGCCGAAAATTCTCCTTGCAACTGTGCTACTTCTGGCACTAGAAATGGAGGCAGAGAAATGAGGTGAAGGATGGGGCAGCTTCCAGGGAACAGCTCAGGAAAATTTTCTTGTGCTCTTTCTGCCCATCTCTTCTGGGTAAATAGTTCTTAAGAGCTACTCTAATCTTGAATTTACTGAAGGTAACCTTGAAGGCTTTGTTTGTTTGCTTGTTTATAGCCTTTTAACAAAAACTTGTTGGGAAAAGGCAAAACCACCAGCATGGCTGATGTCTGTTCTTGTAAAGAATCTGGTTTGTGTGTTAGTGCTGCAGGACAGGTGATGGTGGGTAGTGTGTCTGTGATGAGAGTCTAAGTAAAAGCAGACGAAGCAGCATAAAGCCTATTATCCCACTGCAAATTATCACAGAATCACATGGAGTTGGAAGGGACCTCTGGAGATCATCCAGTCCAACCCACCTGCCAGAGCAGGTCCATCTAGAGCAGGTTGCACAGGAACTTGTCTAGGTGGGTTTTGAATGTCTCCAGAGAAGGAGACTCCACCACCTCTCTGGGCAGCCTCTTCCAGGGCTCTGCTACCCTCAAAGTAAAGAAGTTTCTTCTCAGGTTTAGGTGGAACTTCTTACATTCAAGTTTGTGCCCGTTTCCTCTTGTCCTGTCACTGACCACCACTGAAAAAAGACCGGGCCCGTCCTCTTGTGCCCAGGAAATGGGCACAAACTTGAATGTAAGAAGTTCCATTCCATCTCAGCGTGAGGAGGAACTTCTTTCCTTTGAGGGTGGCAGAGCCCTGGAACAGGCTGCCCAGAGAGGTGGTGGAGTCTCCATCTCTGGAGACATTCAGAACCCACCTGGACATGTTCCTGTGCAACCTGCTCTGGGTGGACCTCCTTTGGCAGGGGAGTTGAACTAGATGCTCTCCAGAGGTCCCTTCAAACCCCATATCATTCTGTAATTCTGTTTGCTGTGTGTGGGTGGAGGGAGACAGCACTTGACCGTGGAAAACCCTGAAGGAGCCTGGTAGTGTTTGAATGCAGCGACACAGAGGTTAGGAGGCAGCCTGCCGGCCCTGCTGGAGCAGTGCTTTTTGGTGAAGTGGAGGAAGCAGGAAGTCAGAAATACAGAGGAGAAATATTTGTAATACTTGAGTAAGCATCTCAAAACTTCATAATTAGAAACTCTCAAGATCCAATAGAAACTCCCAAGTGAATATTTCCTGTGCTTTCTGTGCCTCCCAGCTGCAGCTGAGCAGCCAGAAATGGGGGTTGTGTGTAGTCCCTGGTACTTTGGTGAGGGAGGAGAAGATGTCAATGGTCCATAAATGCACAACGTTTTTTTGTAGAGCATTTTTGTGTAGAAGCTGACACTGTAGCAGGGAGAGAATTGAAATGAATTCTTCTTTGCTCAAGGATGTAGCAAAGGCTGCTACTTTGCTGATAAAAAAAAAAAAAACAAACATGAGGCATTTGGTTTTCTTAACCTGTCTGTCTTACAGAACTGTTTGGTTTGTGAAATTTAGCTATCCAGGAGGTCAGTGATGGGGGTATAGTCTATATTTGCCCGAGTGATGTAACGAAGACCATCTTTTTTGTACCAGGAACGTAAGCTGTTTGTCTGCCTTTTCAAAGTCCTCTGCTTCCTCCTCCTCCCCCTTGCTGTTGTCTCTTGCTCAGTCCCAAAGAAAAGATCAATCCCTGCCTCTCCCTGTGATTGCAGAGCCGGGCTGTATTGCCTACTTGTTTTTCAAACAAACATCTCTGTGTGTTCTCCCCATGTTGCCTCTCAGGCTTCAAAGCAAGCCTCCAAAAACATCCACAAAGCTTTCTCCTGACTTCTTAAGGCCTTGCAAGGGTATCCGCAAACCCTTGAGGAGGGCTAATGCTTCTGAGGTGCTTTGGCTTTGAATATTAAACAAACCGTCATGTCATTTTGTTTCTTTATTCCCTCATTTCTGTATCTCCTTTTGTGTATTTAACTTTTTTTTTTTTTTTTTTTTTTTTTTAATTTTTTTTTAATATATTTTTTTTCTCTTTATGTTTTAAAAACGTATTTATTTATTTATTTATTTAGGCGGCGGTCGGCCCCCCTTCCCGGGGGGCCCGCCCCCTTTTTTTTTTTTTTTTTTTTTTTTTTTTTTTTTTTTTTTATTTTTTTTTTTTTTTTTTTTTTTGGCAAAGGCCGCTTTTTGCTCTGACCAAGAGCTGGTGCTTGTGGGACTTTCGATAATATAGATCGGGAAGAAGGAGCTCATGTGCGTATTGGGCACAGTGTTTAATGAAGAATTGCAATTAGCGGCCCATTAAGTTACTGATGTATCTGTTTTTCTCTCCCACAGAAGCCCCTTGTGCTACTCCACTGATCTGTAGCTTTGGAAGGCCGGTGGACCTGGAGAAGGATGACTACCAGAAGGTCATATGCAACAACGAGCATTGTCCCTACAGCACTTGGATGCACCTTCAGTGCTTCTACGAGTGGGAGAGCAGCATCCTCGTCCAGTTCAACTGCATCGGCAGGGCCAGGAGCTGGAACGAAAAGCAGTGTCGCCAAAACATGTGGACAAAGAAGGGGTATGACCTGGCTTTTCGCTTCTGCTCCTGTCGGTGTGGGCAGGGTCACTTGAAGAAGGACACTGACTGGTACCAGGTGAAGCGGATGCAGGATGACAAGAAGAAGAAATCGGTGTTGGAGAAGAGCACAGGAAGGTCGATGGCGGAGTCGGCGGAGGAGGCCAAAAAGGGCAGGCCGGCCAACAAGCCGCAGAAAGGCTTGAGTAATGACCTCCAGCGAAGGCACTCCATGGACAGGCAGAACTCCCAGGAGAAGGGCGTCATGGGTGGCAGCTACGGCGTCCGTTCTCCTTGTGTCTCCCCCGGCCAGTCCCCACCCACCGGCTACTCCATTCTTGCCCCCACGCATTTCAGCGGCCCTCGTTCCTCCCGATACTTAGGGGAGTTCCTGAAGAACGCCATTCACCTGGAGCCCCATAAGAAGAACATGGCCGGCGGGGGCATGTTCAGGAACGCGCACTTTGATTACGGGGCGGCTGGCTTGCAGGCACACAGGTCGGGACATTTCGATGCCCCCGTGCAGTTCTTGAGAAGGCTCGATCTGTCCGAGCTGCTCACCCACATCCCCAGGCATAAGCTGAATACTTTCCACGTGCGGATGGAAGACGATGCCCAGGTGGGCCAAGGGGAGGACCTGCGGAAGTTCATCCTCGCTGCTCTTAGTGCCAGCCACAGGAACGTTGTAAACTGTGCACTGTGCCACAGGGCCCTGCCAGTGTTTGAACAGTTTCCCCTGGTGGACGGGACCCTGTTCCTTAGCCCATCGAGACACGATGAGATTGAATATGATGTGCCCTGTCACCTTCAAGGTACAGGTTGTCTGTCGGTCATGCTAGGTTTCATTAAATGACGGAACTGCCTTCTCTGCCCTGTTTCCCCCCCTTCCCTCCCCCCACATTATAGATTTTTCATCCCAGTTCTGCATTTTTAAGAGGTTCTGCAAAGCTTGAAGTCGCGTCCACATTAATCACCCGGATCAGATTGAAGCCCTTAGAAGGAATTACAAAAAGCAAGTGCCGTGTAGAAAGATCCGTGCCTTCTCTTTGGGCTTGCAGCTAAGAGATTTCTCATCAGGTTTCTAGGTACACCATGGGAAGGTTTCTCAGCCAATCTGTTTTGCAGCGTGTGCATGCTGATCTGTCTGTTGTGAGCTTTACCCCAAGATATACATCAACCTCTTAAACAGCCTTTTTGAATTTAAGCATGCTGTGCTGCAGCGCAGGGGAAAGTTGTGTTCGTACCGCCAGTGAGATGAGAAGCCTCTCATCTGCTTTCAGAGAGTATCAGTTTTGTTTTATAGCAAACTATTTTTTTTGTGTGGAAAACTATTTTCTTATATCTATCCATTCTGGCCTATGTTAGCACCAGCCTGAAGAGGTTGGATGTTGTAAAAGTGAACTTTTAATGGTGGGTTGAAGCAGTGATGGTGTAGTGAGGGTTTTAGATTTATTTCCAAATTCCCACCTGTTTGGGCTGCATCCAGATCACGTCCCAGCTCCGAGCTGAGCTGAGACAGAGGCATGTATTACTTTTTTCCTAGAGAAACAAATGGAAGTGGGCTAGGATGAGCTTCAGCTCTTCTGGAAGCTGTGCCCCAAAACACACTGCAGGCAGCCAGCACGGCCAGAATAGGTCAGAGAAAGTTTGGTGTTCAAAAACATAGAATTACGTGTTGAAAAGTGTATTGAGAAGGCATTAACGAGAGGTATTTTAACATTTAAGTTTCTCTCCTTCCAATAAAACATGTTATATCCCATGCATGGTCATAATACGTGTTATGTAACATTCCTCTGATCAACAAACTTTCTATTTTTTATTTATTTATTTTTTCTTTCCTTAAATCACTGTGCGCTAAGTCACTAAACTGTATTCATGCTAACGTTATCATTTATGTTTTGCCTGATGTACTGTAAGGAGAAAAGGTGATATAGGCAAATACACAAGCTGCAAAAGTGCCAGGGTAAACAGACTATACCTACGCGAGATAACAAGGCTTGTTTGCTTTGGTGGGGAGGCACACACAATGTGCTTGTGGTTTTACCAGTGCTAAGAGCTGGTTTAGTAAAAGTGAAACTCATCGCTTGTTAACGTTTGCCACTAAGAATGAAACTTTGCAAATGTTTATTATTATTTTTTAATTGGTTGTTCCTTACCCGTTGGGCTCAGACAAGATGCCGTGAATAATTAGTTGTTAACATTTTTATCTCTTTGTCCTGGATAAAATGGTTTATTATCAGAAGTGCTCTTCGAAATGGATTGAGTTTGGAAGGTGCTGTTCCAGGGTGTTATTTTCTCTTCAGTACAGAAAGTCAGTTTTTTCATTTCAGGCATGTTTAAGATATCAGGTACCTCATTTCCTATATATCAAGAATCCTGAAAATTAAGTGGTGGGGAATATGGTATTTTAATGTGAGGGAACGGTGCAGAACTCCAGGTGGGGAAAATTATTTTACCTTCCTGTACAACACAAAACTTCTGTGTGTGGAATTATTTGAATGTCTCCAGTCTTCAGTGTTCACTTTAGAAACAGAGTTTATTATATTTGCACTTTAGTCTCATCACATAACACTTTCTGGAGCTGAACATGCCAATGTGGAATAGCTCAATTTTTACCAGCTCAAACTAGCAAGTTTATTTTGTATGTTTTTTTTAAGAATAGTCTGATTTTTCTTCTTGTTTTTCTGAAATAGCTGGCTTAAAAAACAAAATAAGTTAAAATTCAAACCATTAATTTTGAAAGTGTCTGATATGGACGGATCATAAATTGTTAATATTTTACTCCTTTTTATCTAGAAGACGTGCAGATGTGTGTGTTCATTAAATTACGGGTTGTGATGGGCTCAATGCTTTGGTGCTAAAGAGCACAAATTGCAATCCAAGATAAATACATACCATGCAGTCCTGTTTTGGAGCTGATCTGTAACTGCACTGCTTCTGAGCTTTGTCTTACATAGCAGTGTAAAATACGGTATATTACAGAATTAGGTCAGCCCACTTCTGATAGCCAACTATTAAATTACAAATCAATTCGGTCGCTACGAATCGGCCAGAATCGAGATGCCAGATCTTTGTTAATTTGTGTGGGGCTTTTTGTTTTGTGTGAAATTTGCATCTTGGGTATTGCATTGGTGACTTGAGTCACATTTATGCAGAGGAAGTATTTCATTTTCAAGTCTGAGCCGCTTGATTTTTATGGAAGTCAATGTTTTTGAAAGTCATTGCGCATACAGAGGTCATAATAGAGCTCAATAGATTTGTAGTTCTGAATGGCATGTTAAAACTCTGTGCATGTGTAATATATAATGTTTTTAGATATACTTACTGTTAATGAACGGCCAGGAAAAAGTACATGAAAGAAACTGGCTCTCCTGGCTGTTGCTTTTTTCCATGAGGAATATTAGGTCCTTGGTTTCCTCTTTGCTGGAAGATTTTGGCAAGTTGTTAGATGAATCTGTACCCAGCTTGTTAATAAGCTTCAACACTTCTCGGCTGCTTCTGTCAGGTGGGGATGAAGCTGGGGCACAATCCTGGTTTTGGAAATGCTGCAGCTGATCATGTGGCTTAACCCGGCATCTGTTCGTGGAGCTTCAGCAGCTCCTTTTATAAAATGTTTTGCTAAGGTCTACCAGCAAATGGAGGAAGGGGAGGGTGGGCAGGGCGATGACTAATTCCTGAGTTTTGCATCCATGGAAAATAGCATCATTCAGGCCCTGTGTATTTCCCATAGAGAAACATTTTTTTTAGTTTATCATTCACCCTTTTTTGTAAAAAAAAAAAATATGTGATTTGTGTCATGACAGGGCAAGATAACACATTGTGGGAAATGTCTGTTTCAATCTTCTGTTCTAGTCTCCTTAAGAAGTGTCTCTCCTGTCCACAGGAAGGCTTATGCACCTCTATGCTGTTTGTGTAGACTGCTTAGAAGGGGTTCACAAAATTATCTGCATTAAGTGCAAGTCCCGATGGGATGGAAGCTGGCATCAGCTGGGAACTATGTATACCTACGATATTCTGGCAGCATCTCCCTGTTGTCAGGTTAGTACCATGTGTAAATAAGACCCGTAAGGGGAAATTCCAACTGGTGATAAATAAAACCGAGGTTTGTGTATCTCTTCTCCCTTCCCTTCTTCCATCCTTCTTTTCCAGCCTGTACCTGCGAGTCCAATACGAGAAAGCTGACTGAGTCCCTGCCCTTTTGTCTTAAGTTATGAGGCACAGCAGCCTATAGGTAGACACAAGCCAATGCTGTGGTCAGTGGGCAATACTTAGGTTTTCACATAAAGCTCCTTTAAGTGCATCCACAATTAAATCTGGTGCTTGGGGTGATCCCTAGCAGGTATCTGTAGCATCAGGTATGATTCCAGTAGTATTTTGATAACAGTTGTGTTTTATCATGAGATAATGGTAGCAAAACAGCTAAGGGAATGGAAAGGTCTAAAGATTGCCCAGCTCTCCTTCATCGTTGGTGCCACTGACCCCGGTGATGGTACCCCACCACAGCCTGAGGCAGCTTCCTTTTCATTAAATGCTCACCTCATCCATACCTTGGGTGAGAAGGAGCCAAGGCTTGGGGTTACAGAGCACTTTTGTTGTGCAGGTCAGGGTAGACAGGCATGGAGAGAGCATTTGTCTGGGTTAACGTACGTGCTCAATCAACAGCAACCTGAAGCACAGGTTTGTCAAAACACAAAATGCCATTTTATTTTAAATTTAACGTATTCACCTAAATATGTTGCTCAAAAGACAAGTGGTGTTGCTCCTGCTGCTTAAAATTACATTGGTAACAATCATAACTGAGGACAGAGAGATTACCTTCGAGTGTAGTGCCTCTTGAGATTGTAACTTCTTTAAAAAATAAGGACTTTTAAAGATAAAACACTCATGCTACTTGCTAGCTCTGTAAAAGCCAGCAAATTTAAATCTGAATTGCTTCTGTTGAATGTGCAAGACAAGAATTAAGGTCTCATTATACAAGAGCCTTAATTATATGATTAATGGACAGTGTGACAGTACATGGTAAGTAATAGAACTGACTATGAAATCATTAGCTGCAGAGACTGTGATTGCCAGATAATACGCATTATTGTTTCACCCTGATTGTTACAGATGATTCTGTGCATAGGGAGGAATGACATTTAAATACGGTATATAATTTAACTCCGAATTGCCTTGCTAATTTCTATTTTGAATAATTTCATACCTTATTTCAAAATATTTAATTGTACATGACAAATGTGCATGTGGGATGATGAATTGCAGCCACTGCCAGGTTACTAGCAGATAGCTGATGTGCTGGCCAGGAGAAAGGGGGAAAACATCATACAAATCATACAGAAAATCATTCAAATCCATGCCCTGCTAGATTCTATTTCGTAGAATTTCTGCTTTTCGAGCAGAGCAGGTGGCTGTGGAGCTGGTGGTTTGTTTCTATTTGAGTCCTGTCTCAACAGTAATAGTACTTTAATAATTTCTTCCTCTCATGCCAGGAAAATTCCTTCAATTTAAGGAATTCCTTAAATTGAAGGAATTTAATTTAAATTTAAGGAGTTTAACGCTCATTTGCCACCTTTAGCCTGAAACTCCTTCACGGTCTCAAATCCCTTCTGCTTCTCTTGAGCGTTTCAAATCACCTGCTGAGCTTTCACGCCGCCTGTTGCCTTCTTTACATTAAATGGGCTGGGTTTCTCAGCCAAGTCTCTTCTGAAGACTCACTTCTTTTTGTTACAGCGGAACGTTAATAGCTCCGTCTGTCCTCACTCTTGACCTTTAATTATTTCTCACATCCACCCCGTTAACGTTGGTCCTGTCTCCATTAGATTTGGTAGAGTGGCTAGCGCTCTTGAAGTGATGTTTGGCTTGTATAACCTGATATGTGTTATAAATGTTTAAATAGATCCCTAAAGTGATACGGAACATGGAATACAATACCACGCCATGCTGATAAAGTAGATCGAGTTATACATTTGTTAAACCAAAAGATGAAAACTGCTGATCTCTTTCATAGACTGCTCTTGTTCAAACATCAACCTCAGCGGTTGACTTGCATGGCACAAATGTAAAATTTCTCTCTTGGCTTCAGGGGGTTCGTTTATGATTTATTGAGGCAGCGCTTCTTGCGCTGGGGGTTGAGGAATTGGTTCAGAGATTAATCAACACAAAACAATTGTGTGGGCATCTACACTTGGAAATTCTCTGCCTCCCGTCAGTCAGAGTGGGAGGTAGCTGAGTCTCCAGAATTTGGTGGTGGCATTTCATGTGAAAAAATGTTGTGTATGGCTGTGAGGTACCAGTCTGGGTGAGGGATGTCCTTACCAGTATATCCCATTACTGCCAGTTTCCTGACTTGCCCCCTCTCCCGCCGGGAAATGCGTGATGCTCTCTTTTTTTCGGAGGCGAGGAGCGGAGGTGAATTTGGTTGTTTCAAAAGGGCTTTGTTTTTTTGTTTGTTTCTTTGTTTTTCTTTTTACAGGCTCGACTGAACTGTAAGCACTGTGGGAAGCCAGTAATAGATGTACGGATTGGCATGCAGTATTTCTCTGAATACAGCAACGTCCAGCAGTGTCCTCACTGTGGAAACCTAGACTACCACTTCGTGAAGCCATTTTCTTCATTTAAAGTTTTGGAGGCTTATTGACGAAAGCTTTGCTTTAGTAATAGCTATTTTATGGGTATTTCAACTTTATTACATATCTTTTTATAGGATTCATTCTGTGATGAAATTTAATTTCTTTTCTAACTGAAAGAGCAGCTTCTTTGTCTGTGTACATATTAATATGTATATATATATATGTTGTTAAAACCAGAATCCTCCTGACGAGATCTCTGTGAAGGTTGGAGGCAAGCCAATTTAATGGCCTTTGAATATATCCCGAGTGTGGGGTAAAGTTCAGCTAAAAATGCTTTGGTTTTATTTTATTTTTTGTTGTATAATTGTAATACAGTTTATAGGAAGGGTGCGGAGAGGCGTACGGAGAAATATGTTCGATTGGAAAGTGGGTCACTGCGGAGGGTCGTTGTCGTCCCTCCGGCTTGGTGGAAATGGGAAATCCTTGGAAAGAAACCATCCCTCTGAATTACTGCTGAATTCATTTGGCCTTTTGCATCGGTTCCTACGGGCACAGGAGCTGGCCCCAGCAGGTTTCCTTCAGATTTCCCAAGACTGGCTGAACTAAGGTGTCGTGACAAGTGAATGTAAATGTTTGCCAGAAAATGCAATCTTGAAACGAATTGTTATAATTTTATATATATTTTTTTTTTTGGTTTTTTTTTTTGGCATTAGTGTCTTCCTGCCATGTGCGTTGCCCTCACTGACGGACCGTACGGCATTAGCGTCTTCCTGCCGTGTGCGTTGCCCTCACTGACGGACCGTACGGCAATAGCGCTGCTTCCACCGGGGCTGCCGTGCTTCCCAGCCAGGTCATCGTACCAAAACAAGCCAGAGATCTTATAAATGCTTTATTTAAAGGTGTTTTCTTCACAGGCATTTTTGGGGAAGGAACAGGCTGAGTGGGATGGGGGCTGTGTTTGTATGCGCCTGGTGGGACTGGTGTGGAAGGAGGACCGTGAAGTGGGATCCAGAGCTGAGAGGTACCGAGTACAAAACGTGGCATCGCTTTTAAAAAAAACAATTAATCGCTGCACCTTTGTCTTTTGAAATTGCATTAAGTCCAGGATCTAAAAACTTGGAGACTTTTTAAGAAAGCAGACTTAGTGTATTTGCTTTCTGCCTGCCTCTGCGCTGTACGTAATAGACTATGCATTAGGCAGTGAGTTTGTATGAGAGGGCTTGGCCCTCTAGACTCTGCAGGTTTTATTTCTTGGTTCCCATTTTTCCCTTCCTTAAATAAAATGTTTAAAATAGGTCTTTAATCCCCTGTTCGGTTTCTCAAGCCAATTGAGATTTATGGGAAGTTGTGGGGCTTTTGTTTGTTTTTTTTTTTTTTTTCTTTTCTCCATAGAGTATTTATGGAGTGTTTGTCCACTCAGATGTGGGTTATGTTTCTCTTTACGAGGTGGGATTATTTTTTGTTTCTTCTGAAGTTTTTTTTGTTTTCCCAAATGAGAATCTCTTTAAAGAGTGTATCTGTTGGAATCGTGATCCTGAAATTGGCCCTGATGCTCTGCCACCCTGGGAAAGAACGCCAAAAAAGTCAGAAGCCAAAAAAGCCTTTTCATGTGCTGGACGGGGAATTATGCTTTCTGCTAAGTTAAGAAATTAATGTGCACATAAAACTCAAACTGAATATCCGTGTTTCTTTGTGTGTAAAAATGCCAAGTTCACAGTTTTATGTCCTGGCTGTCTTCACTGTGGAATTAGCTCCTTTTTAGCATTAGCCACTCTTGGAGTAATACTGGAGCTGTGCAGAGGGCTTCTGTTGGCAGGGATGACTTACCGAGTGGTAATGTCCTTAGAAGCCAGCCAGCTCACCTTGATGGTTTTCACATCTGGGCTGTCTGTCTCCTACAGCTACACTGGTGATCTGCTGCTGGTCTGAAGGCCATGGTAGCCCTTCATCGTTGGCACTCCTCTCTTCCTCCTGTCCTCGCTCCTGTGCTTGGTTGTGGGTCTGGAGCGCATCCTTGGGGTTTTGTGCAAGTTGTCCCCCGTTTGTCACAGTTTTGAGAAAACCTGTTTCCTTTTTAGATAGAATTACAGAAAGGAGCTCAGGAGACTTCTACCGCTGACCTAGTGTGGCTACCCACAAGCTAAGTTACACCGAACCCCATTGCAGTGGGACCAGGCACTCCTGGGCTGGAAGAAGGTGTCTAGCAGATAAAACCTGGTTAGCTGTGCAGTGTAGACTTCCCTGATGGAGAACAATCAAGTTATGAATTCAATTAACTCCTCAGGGAGAACGAGCCCTTTAGCTTTGACGGTGCGTTGAGCAACCTGATGGAGTTAGACTGGCTAACAAGGTTTGGGCTTGTGTTGCCTGGCAGAACCAGACCACATGGACAACAGCTAGACTCTTCCAACTGCCCAGAACCACACAGTGAAGAAAAAGCTCCTGTGATGAGAAAAATTAAAGGATTCATCTGTAACTGGAGTGTTTGGTCTTGAGCACTGGTTGGTCATGCCATGAATCTATAGGGTGTTAATTGCCACACAGTCTACGTGGTGGTGTGAACCCACTTTTTCATGCACTCGGCAAGGGGAGGTGTCACTGTACAATGCACATGGTAGGGGAGAAGTGGGATCTGGAGCCCTTCTAAATACTTGTTCGTTTGCTTTCCTTAGTGTAGCTTAATTTATAGTTCTATTCTTTAAGTACTTAGATGCCTCTCCAGATGTGTATGTGTGACAATCGAGAATGAGTAGGCATGGAAAAAGGGAATTTGGCCAGCCTTAAAAAACACAAGTCTATGAAAGGTCGTACAGTATATTCAAGTCAAAACCAAGAACACAGCAGAGAAAATGGGAAGGGGAAAGCATATTTAAAGTCTTAGCAGTGACAAGGAGTTATGTACACATCTATCCAAGAAAACAATTTAGGTCTCCATCAGCTTTTCCTTTTTATTCTGGTGTTAAGTGGGTATTGTCTAGTGCTTGAGGAAATGCCTATTTTCTTACAAAACACATCTCTCAACTGGAGGTGAGCAGCGCATGGAGCACTGTAAAAACGATCCTTGGTGGAAACCAGCTGAGCAACAGCGAGATCCCTCTGAACTTTCACTCCAAAGTAAATTGTCCCTAATTTGTAGAGAATGCTTTCCCTGCTTCTTGCCGGTACTGAAAACTGATCCTGGTTTACTGCAAAATGTGTTTGGTTTTGGTTTTTTTCTAACATGCGTCAGATTCCAGTCAAGGGGTCGGGCCCACCCTTTGGCCAGGAGAGTTTCAGCTGGGCTTTGCCCAAGTAGAAAGGCAGAGGTGACTTCTTTGGGGCCTAGTGGCAACTTAAGAGGTTGGTTTGCTGTCTGTCTTGACGTAGTCATGAGCTTTTCAATGTGTCAAAAGGGAAATAATTTCTCCAGCTAGGAGGCTGCCTGCTTTGCTTGTTTGGCTAAAGTTTATTCTTCACTACCTTTCCTTTTTCCGATGCTGCGTGTTCTTTTTAATCTGGCCTGTGGTCGGGTTAAATTGTGCCTGAAATATGTTTTGTAATGGAGAATACCGTCCTCTGGGTTTGGAGGGTCGTTCTACTCTTCTTAAGTGCACGATACTCCTCGTGATAGTAATAGGAGTTGCATGTGCAGACGCTTTTCTTTCCAGTAGCTAACTCCCTTTTCCATAGGAGAGGCTTGCATTTAGATAGACTTCATGTTTTGGATGCGTGAAAATGAAATTCATCCATCAGTAGGATGTTTAAAGGTAAATTCTGATAACCATAACTAACACAACGGGCATGTCTGACACGCTGATATGTAATTTGGCATCTAAGTGAGGTGAACAGCCTGAAATTCTTGTTCTGTCTTAATGCTGCGGAGTCATTAAACCTACAGTGTTCTATAGCCAGCCTATAGACTGTCCTATGGCCTATTTGCATTAACATCTCCAGTAGTCAGCAGTGTATTCATAATGAATTTAATTGGGAAAATAGGGAATATTCCTACAAGGGAGGCATCTAACCCAATTTCTTTCTTTTTCCTTTTTTTTTTTCTTTTTTTTTTTCCCTGTGTACTCTTCATTTTGCTATACCAGGTAACCAAGGACAAACATGTTGTTGTAAGGCCACTGGTGAGAAAATCCTTCGAAAATATACTTGTCCATAAGGGTTTCTTGTTGAGACATTCTTGGATTGCACTTTTGCAGATGGAAGAATATGTACATAGCAAATGAATGTTGATGAAATGAAAATAATTGGTTATGATATCATTTGCGTGTGTTGTTAGAGAATATTTTGTTGTGACTTCTCTGTATTAAAAAGTAATAAATACCAGACAGCTAAGAGTGTGGGTTCTTCTTTCCCCCTTCTCCTCTCGACTGGTTTCTTCCACCTGCTCTTTACAGAGAGACTTAACTCTGGTCACCTTAGAGGGCACAGGGAAAACAGGTTTTCAGTGTTCATTAAAATCAAGCTTTGATGTAGTTGTTTTGAAGACTGCTATACTGAAAAAAGGGGGTGTGGGGTGTGACGTGTCCCCTTGCAAAACAGAAGTCCTGCTTGCTTTGTTGACATTGGAGATGCTCCTCCTTGCAGCGTGGCCGTTTCGGGAGCAGGCGGCTGCTGTGCCGGTGGGGATGGAGAGAGGATGGAGCGCTGAATCCTTCACTTCTGGTTGAGTCTGTCAATGGCAATGTGCCCTCTGGTGCCTGAGAAATAGCAGAAGGGCTTCTGTAGGGGAGGATGCTGGATGGCAGCACTAGGCAAAAAAGAGTTTCCCATGTTCCTGCTGAACACTTCATCCCTCAAACCCCGTTGCAGGGGAGGGAGCCTCATAACCCTTGCTTTCCTGCGTCAGGTTTGTGGTAGCCTGACTAATCTAATCATGTGTTTTAGCAGAGCTCGCTCCATGTGCTTACAGCGTGATTCCTCAGCCTTTGCCTGTTGCTACGGAGAACTTCAGGAAGGAGGTAAATGGTCAAGGCAATCTGGGCTTAGAAAAGGGAAAGCAAAAAAGTAGAGGAAGGACATTGAAGTGCTGGAACGTGTCCAGAGGAGACACATCAAGCTGGTGAGGGGTCTAGGGAACAAGTCCTATGAGGAGAGGCTGAGGGAACTGGGCATGTTTAGTTTGGAGAAGAGGAGGCTGAGGGGAGACCTCATTGCCCTCTACAACTACCTGAAAGGAGGGTGTAGAGAGGTGGGGGTTGGCCTCTTCTCCCAAGGGAATAACGACAGATCCAGAAGAAATGGTCTGAAGTTTCGGGAGGGGAGGTTTAGATTAGATATTAGGAAGAATTACTTTACTGAGAGGGTGATCAGGCACTGGAACAGCCTGCCCAGGGAGGTGGTGGAGTCACCATCCCTGGAGGTATTTCAGAAACGTGTAGACATGGCACTTCAGGGCCTGCTCCAGTGCCTGAGATTGTTGGGTTGTGTCTGTGGGTTTTGTTGGTTTTTGTTGGGGTTTTTTTTTTTGTTTGTTTTTATTTGGGGTTATTTTTGGGTTTTTTTTGGACCCGATGATCTCAAAGGTCCCTTCCAACCATGAAGATTCTGTGATTCAGTGCTGTGGGGGAAGGAGGACAGGGCTCAAGGGAGATGAGGTGTGATGTGGAGATTGGAAACACTCTCTAAAGAGCCAGCTGTAGCTGTTCAGGTTTAATTTTGGAAGCAGATACCGTGGCTGGCTTGGATAACCTTGAAGCTGAAAACCTGTGTGTTGTGTTAATTGGGAAAAGCACTGCGGATAGCTGCCTCTTAAAATACGAAGATCTGTTTAAGAG